AGAAGCCATGGTCACACTGCAGTCCCTTCTCTGTTCTCCATCCTGTTGGGGTCTGGGGCATGCATGGACACATGCTTGGCATGTTTCTCAAGCCTCAGCGGGCAGGATTTAGACTAAAGTTGGCTATGTGGGTGAGATCTGGTTACCTTAACTACTAGGCTACAGGGCTGAATCTGAATAACAGTTCATTTGCTCTTTGCCTTTAGCACCATTCCTAGAGACTTCCAAATGGTGGTTGTGGTTTTTTAAAAATAATTTTCCTGTTTCACTGGTGAGCAGGCCAATGGAGCTTCTCGTGCTGTGATGCTGGAAGACTTCAGGGGTTCTGGAACTTAAAACTTTTGAGCCCTTCATGCCTTCTGCTTTTAGTTTACTGGTAAAATAGTCTTGGTCTCTGACCCTACACTATTCCATTTTATTCTCCTATTGCCCAGTTTTTGTTCTTTACTATGTTTATGTATCTAAAATAGCATTTATGTTTTTTGTATACCTCTTTTCTTCCAAAATGCTAGTTTTGTGAAGACAGAAACATGATCTGTTTTGTGCAGTGTCACATCCTAGTACTTGATAAATACACCCCATCTGTCAGAGACTGCCATCACAACGCTGGCAGTCATGTTGGGCAGAAAGGAGGGTAAGTGGGTAGTCACAAAACATTCTAAAAGTGCTGGGGGCTGGCAGGTGGCGTGGTGGTTAAGGATGCTGAACTCCCACATGGCTTGTCTTGGTTTGAGTCCTTGCCCTGGCAGCTTGCTTTCTCTCTCCTTCTCTCTCTCTCCCTTTCTCTCTCTTTCACTGAGTCTGCCCCTCTCTGGTCAAATTTAAATAAATAAATGGATCAATAAAGTTAAATAAATAAAATAATTCTTAAAATTCTAAAAGTGCTTTGAAAGAGGAGCTTATTTGCAGGGTACTCAAACTCTGATTGAAGACAAGTAGTAGTATTGGCATACGTCAGAACCAAAATGGAGCATACATATTATCGTAAGCATCGTTAATGTAAGCTACTAGGCTCATGGAATCCTGGAGCCTCTTTCTACACCACCAGTGAGGCAAATTAAAACTACATTGCTATGGATCTTACAGTTGGATATTTATCAAGTATTTTCCAATTTCTTCCTCTAACATCAGCTTACCACAGTTATTTATGTCTTCTATTGTTGGGGTCAAAGTCTGCCTATGACAGTGACAGAAAGCATTTGAAGACATGGGGCCAGCAGGTGGTGTGGTGGTTAAGGGCTCTGGACTCCCACATGGTTGACCATGGTTTGAATCCTGGACCTGGTGGCTTGCCTTCTCACTTTCCCTTTCTCTGTACCTCTCTGCCTCTCTGGTCAAAAAAAAAAAAAAAAAAAAAAAGTTAAAATAATTTTAAAAAAAGAAAAAAGAAAGCATGTGACTACTGAGAGCAAAACTACTTTTGTTGATAGTGCATTCACTTTTGTTTATGATTTCATATACTTACGAAGGATAACTCCTCATAGGATTATTGGTAGAATTAAATGAGTTCACAGTTTAATGTGGACATTAATAAATATTGTTTTTTTGGGAAAGTCATGATGCATTTTTGCAGAGGAAAACATAGAAAAGTACATCATGACTTTCCCAATGACCTAATAGCAGCTTTCTGAATTTCTGCTCTTCTGGAAAAAACTAAAAACATTTTTGCGCGAGAGTACATACCAATCACTGGGGAGGGAGCAAGTGAGAAAGCACACTCCTCCCTTTTCCATTTTGGGAGTTTTGGGCATGCACCTGTGCCTGTCATTTTTTCAAGCCACCGGGTCTGGTACTTGAACTGTGCAGTCAGCCGTGTGGGATCCAGCCACGTCGGATCCTGCCACCTTAACCACCATGCTACTGCTGGACTCAACAATATTTTTAAAGTTTATTTTTATTCATCTAAGTTGAGAGAAAGACAACATTGCCAACAAGGTCTTGATGCCACATTCCACCCCAGCCTTCATCTATCCTTGCAAATGGGAACCTTGTGGCCAGTGTCCTCAGATCCCCACATGAATCAGCAGCCTTCCATGTGCGATCGTCTCACAGAGCATCACATTCTACCTCCGTACCACTGTCTGGGCCCAGCTTTTTAATTTTTTAGTAATTTTTTTTTACAGCATATACCATTGACCAAAGACTTTTATTTGCCATTTACAGTTTGAATCAAATTGTTTGGTTAAAAAAAAATTTGGTTTTTTTTGGAGAGGTTTTTTACCCTAGTGTGCTTACTGAAGAGGAGAGAGAGAGAGACAGACAGACAATGATAGGGAGAGTGAGAAATCACCCACCAGGGCAATGAACATGCCACAATCCCTTTTCCTCCTCTTAACTCCCAGGATCTTGGACACACACGCACAAGCTCCTAGGGTGATTTTGAAGCCACGTGGTCTAGGACATGAACTGCAGTCAGCCATGTGGGAGTCCAGCAGTGTAACTGCTATGCTATCTGCTGGTCCCAATTCAGTTAAAATCTTTTCTTTCTTTTTTCTTTTTTTTAAAGAATTATTTAATTTTATTGTCATTATTCTATTTATTTTTTGAAGTTGGCCAAGGAGAGACAATGAGAGAGAAGGAAAGTGAGAAAGTAGGACCAGCAGATGGCATAATGGCTACATCGCTGGACTCCCATGTAGTCGACCTCAATTTGAGTTCCAGACCCGGTGGCTTAAATTCATGCCGGGCACGTGTGTGTGCATGCCCAAGATCCCAAGAGGAGAATGGAGGAGAAGGGATTGCGGGGAGCATACATGCCCTATACACGCCCTATAGCCAAAACCTCTCAAGAAAAAAAAGAAAGCAAGCTGCCAGGTCCATTACTCAAACCATGGTCAATCATGTGGGAGTTCAGCTGCCTTCACCACCACACCACCTGCCAGCCCCCCATTTCAGTTAAATCTTAATAATTGAAGAACAGCCTATCTGGTGCTACAGATTAGAAATTAGTGTGGACAATAATGACTACTAAGGGCACGTTTGACATCTCTCAAAATATCTAGTCCCAAATTACAGAGTAATTTACAGGGGGTAAATATCCTTTTAGCATGTCTGAACAGTGTATGAATATATTACACTGACCTCAGAATAGCCTAGGTAGTACTATTATTAAAGACTGAGTCAGCCAAGAACATTGGGACTCAACTGGTGTGATACAGACAAGATCCATGTTTGCCACTGTACCAGTGTGTTCTGAGCCAGGAATGTGTGCTAACTGGACTTAATGAGATCCTACTGAGAAGTATGCACCTGTTGATAGGATGTAAAATACCCTGGTGCTTATTTTTTGTATGCCACTCTGACCTACCAGGCTGAAACCTTCCTGGTATTCAATATGAATCACTGGTACAGGGAAAAAAGCGAAAAATTTGTGTATCTTCAGATTATAGGTCCTAGTTAAACAATCTTTTACTCCACCTTGATCTTTGTGATAAATTGGAATTGTGGGTACATGTGGACATGGCAAGAGTTGACATGTAAGTGCTCGAGGCTGTGAACTTTCCTAGCTTTGACCCTTTCACCCTTGCCTGCTTTGTCTACCGGTGTGCCCAGTTCCCCACGCTCAGAATCCTCCTTATCCTGCCAGGTGTAGTTAAAGAAACCTTGCCAGTTCATTTCACATAGACATTAAAGAGAAGCGCTTCACAATTCTGGCTGTGCAATAGTATACTTTTGGGGGAGATTTTACAAAGTTCACATGCTCTGGACCCACTTTGAGAGATTTTTCACTGAATTGATACAGTTCTCTTGAAAAATTAAGAGTGAATTTTCTTTAAAAACTTAAGTGATTCTGATACGCAGCCAAAGTTGAGAGGCTGTCTACACCAGATGTGAAGCTTGGCACTCAACTACCCTGTTTCTACTATGAGATTAGCTTTGGTCACAGGGAGGAGAAAGATTGTAGTCTTTCTGGAGTGAATAGTACCTGTTTTCTAAATTACACCCTTTCCATGCTCCACTTCCCTAGGTGATAGAGTATAGGAAGATCCTCTACCTTCCCATGCAGCGGTGCAGAATTCTCAAAGGAGACATGCCCTCTGAATGATGGGTGGTTCCTGAGCCAGGTGGTGGTGCAGTGGTAGTGCAAGTGGACTCACATGGGAAGGGTTCTGGATTCTCTATGTACATGCATGTGTGCCTGTAAGCGGCGTTGACAGAGTAATCACAGTGTGAAAGATCACAGTGTGAAAGCCCTGTTAGCGCCTATCTTTGTTTCTTTCTCCCTGTCTCTTTCGTGAAGAGATAAGTAAACTTGACCAACTTCCATTCTGATTTCTTGGGCTATGCTTGTAGGACTTCCTAACACATTTTTTTGTGCCTTCAAGTAGTCTTGTGAGCCACTTCTCAGATGAATGTTTTCAAGTGCATAAAATAAAATACATAGCATTACAAAAGAGACAAATCAAATTGAACTGTACTTACCAAAGTAAAGTATTTTTACAATAATACATGCCACTTCATTAACACATTAAACACATTTAAGAGTTGGTCGAACAACTGCCCTTAATTCTAAGGAGTGATAATTGTAAGCAGTATTTTGAAATACCTTTGTGATATAAACAACGGTTTTCAGTTGGAGAGAGTCACAGGTACTGATAATATTGCTATAGCTGTTGCAAACATTCACAATTGAAAACAACGCTACATTGCACTTTCTGTTTGTGAAAATAAACATGTAGTTTTTCTTACCTAGACTCAAGAATACCTGAAAAATCTTATATGCTCAGGTTAAGCATATTAATATGTTAGTCTTTTTACAGGTATGAAACAATAGCTAAAAGCTGGTTTTTCGTAATTGCATTGGAGTTTACTTAATTATGTATTTCTAAAGCCTTTTGATTGTGAAATTCACATTAGAGTAATCTTTTTTCCTTCTTTTTTAAAATTCATTATTAACAATACCAGATTTTATGCAAAACATTAGGTAGTTCTTTGAACCCCCCCCCTCCCCATTCTAATGAAAGTGATTTGATGTTACAGGAATACAAGCGCAAGTTAGCCAGAGTTTCCCTGGTACGCAAAGAACTCAGGTCCCGGATCCAGAGCCTGCCAGACTTATCTCGATTGCCCAATGTCACTGGCAGCCACATGCACCTGCCCTTTGCAGGGGACATCTACAGTGAAGATTGATGACCAGTCTCTTTCCATGGCCCAGGACTTTGCAAGAGATGGAGACAGGTTAGGTGGATAGTCCTGTAGCATTATTTTTGTATATTGTTGAGAGAGTGATGCTAACAAAAGAAATGACAAGTAATTTATAAAATTGTTTAAAATGTTGATTTGTTTACTATTTTATTGGTAAGTTAAACATGACTTAGTTTAAACAAAGTGATGATCTCTGTGTATTAATAAGCTCACAAGTAGTGATTATTTTCAAAAGATCTTTTTGTAAATTTCTTTGATCCAGGGCCTTGTGAGAAAGTCCATGTTTCTATTTCTTCCTGTATTTTCAATTGTTTTCTTTATTAAGTATCTAATCACTGCATACTATGTAATTCCTAATGGGGAAGAACTAATCAGGAGTTGGTTGAGATTTTATTGTTGTATAGTTAGGACTTGATTATAGAAGGGACTAAATGTTCCAACTTAATCTTCACCCTTCTTCCCAACCAAACTATCAGTTCTCTGCCTCTCCATGCCTTTGATTCTGTATTCTTAGAGGTCAGTAATTTAACACTAAATATGGATGCCACTTGCCTGTCAGATCAAAGCCTACAGAACTTTTCCCCGACAGCACTGTAGGGGATCCATTCCAACTGCCAGTGTA